CATGTGTTTTAATCGTTAAAGGACCAAAAAAAAAAGGATTTTACCCTATATTTATCTTTTTAAACAGAAAACATATATAGGCTTAGTTTGGTATTGCTTTTCCATCCCAAAATCAGTTTCTGCTTGTAGCAGAAGCTGATTTTAGTGTTTGGTAAATCTTCTCAAAAGTGTTTTTTGAAGAATTTTTCAAGAATCCACAGTCAAAATCAAAAGTAGCCTAAAGACAACTTTAGCTTTTAGATTGTGCGAGAATCATCATAATAAAATTAATGAAACTTTCATAATACTAATAATACCCCTAATGAAATTTAAAATTTACAATCTTGTTAATCTAAAATTCAGACTCGTAATATAATATAATATAATATAGTTGTAATTTTTAATTATATTATAACTGAAATATTAATATTTCTTATATATTATTATAATATCTTTTATAATATTGTAATAATATTAATCTTTTTAATAATATTATTATATTATATATTATAGTTATATAATATGTTATTTAATAATAATTTTATTGTATTATATTAAATATAATAATAAATATATATTATATTATAATTATATATATATATATTATATTATAGTATAATATAATATAGTTGTAATTTTTAATTATCCACAGCAATTCAACCTCATAATTTACCAAACGATATTACGCTGATTTTGAAACCAGCATAGCTACTATAATTATAGTTGACTAAACACTCAGCTGTTTTTTGTAACAACTGCTTCTTCCTTCAGCACAGTTAAAAATAATTTTTCGAAAATCTACAGCATTGCCAACGTAAGCCTTAATCATCAAATTTACCAATAAATTTAGCGTCCAGATAACCGACGTAATATTCGCCGAGTTCTTTTTGGAACTGAGTGACAGTCGCATTTCCGTAGTAGGTGCTGAGATTCACTGTCCGGATAATCTTACCACATCCTTTAAACTCTAAAGCTAAGGGAACAACAGTTAACGGCCTTCCCAGCCGCGGCCGCGGCGGCCCGGAGGCGGGGCTGATAATTTCAGTATTTCTTAATGCCACATAGAACGTTGACAAAGACCTCTCAATGCTGAGCGGACTTCCTACAAGCCGATCGACAAGAATATCATTTTTGCCCTCTCTTTTAAATCATTTTTTTTTGAAGTAAATGACGGGAGGTTAACGCATGTGTCTCAATTAGGTTGGCACCTCTTAATTACCTATAAATCATGTATCAAACCCTCCGTGCTCAAAACGCACGAGAAACTGGAACATTGGTCCTAATTAAATTCCCTTTACCATACTTTGTTGAACGAAAATTTTAATTTAAACCCCCTCCTTGATACGGACAGAGGATTTAAATATGATTTAAATTACCAACTAACATCTTCAAGAACTATTTTGTTATTTGAACATTGTTGGCTTGATCCAATTCATGGTTATTTTTCTAGTAAATTATAAATTGTTGTAGAAATTTTTTTGAAATAACTAAAATTTGAATTATCTCCTGGAGTTCTTTTTATTTGATCAGACAGAGACCGTTTTTTTTACAATTCGAATTACAACTAAAACTTTTTATTACAGTATTTTCTTTAACAAAAGTTTAAATTTAATTTATTTATTACAATATTTTCTCTCACATAAATTTATTTTTCAACTCAAATTCTCAACGTAACCTAGCGAAAAGAAGGTCAGGCTATAAGTCTTTTTCTCCCCCTCACATATATATAGTACTTATAATTAACTGAATATAATTAATAGGTACCTTGTTGGTGGCACAGGAGCATCAGTGAAATATACAACTCCAGTTATTTGGTCAAATCTGGCGGTAGTCTAATTGGTTGCCCTGCTGCACTGGTGGCAAGTTGAGTTGCAAGCCCTCCATTCTCATCAAGCGCAAGAAGTCCTCTATCACAACAATCCGTCACATATAATTGCCATATTTGATATTATAATATGTTTTATAATATTGTAATTTTATTAACCATTTTAATAATATTATTATATTCTATATCATAATTATATAATATGTTATTTAATAATAATTTTATAGTATTATATTAAATATAATAATAAGTATACATTATATTGTAATTATATATATTATATTATAGTATAATATAATATAGTCATAATTTTTAATTATTCACAGTAATTCAATCTCATAATTTATCAAACGTTATTACACTGATTTTAAAACCAACACAACTATTATAATTATAGTTTATCAAACACTTTACTACTTTTTATAACAACTGTTTTTTTTTTTCAACATAGTTAAAAGTAACTACCAAACTAAGCTATAGAAAATTAATGTATGGGTATATTCTCTCTCTAATGGAAAGGAAGGCAATCATGGAAAAAACAACTCTCGATTTAGAAGAAGTGCTACCTAACTAGTAGCTATTACTTGTTTGTTCGCAATAAAAGACAAAAATTAAGCTACTAAATTAAATATTCCTATATGAAGCAAGTAGGAAAAGAATTCCACAAAAAAAAAAAAAAATTGTAGAAAAAGCAAAAAAAAAAAATATAAACTATGCATTATTACCTGGCAACTTGTCATTTTCTTCTCTCGCACGAGTCATATCTTTATTTGATTTATTTAGTCAGCCGTTTAGATTTTATCTTTATTTGATTTGATTTATTTGATTTTTTTTTTGTTTGCTTGAGTTGTTGAAACGGGGTATCTTACACGGCAATTAGTCATCTTATTCCATTTATATTTATATATCGTTAGTTACGTTTAGAGATGTTTGATTGAAAGATTTAAATTATAATTTAAATCATGATTCATGATTTATTATAATATTTTTTTTTATAAAAAATATATATAAATTAAAAATAATTTTACTCATATGATTCTAATTTATGAACCAATTTATCACTTGAGCTAAATAATTATTATTGTATCCATTCAGTTTGACTTGTTCGCACGGCTACCCGTCACCTCTGAGGTCAGTGTCCGCTACCACACAAAGGGGTAGTCACATAGACACCAAACTATCAAAACCGCCTAAACTGCATGTGGACCCAAGATTCCCATTGTCTAAATGGAAACAAAATTCAGCAAAAAAAAAAAAAAAAAAAAAAAAAGAAAAAAAAAAAAAAAAATTTAAAAAAAAAAAAAAAAAAAAAAAAAAGTGAAAACAAAACATAAAATTTGAAAAATAAACCAAACCACCACAATGTAATATATACAATTTGAAATCAAAGTGGAAGGTGAAACTTCCATGCACTTTGTCGCACTCAGATTAGAGTACCTTGAAACGGAAGGCTCATAATCAGGGGCGGAGGGAGTTGAGAGTGAGACCGAGGGAGGGCATATGCCCCCTCTGGATTTTTGGTTTTTAAATTTTACCCCATTATTTTCAAAATTTTCGTATATGCCCCATTCATTAATAAAAATTTTAAATTATCTTAACCAAAATCCAAACTTTTTTCCTATTAAATCTTATACTTTTAAATGTAGCTAATTGAAATTTTTTACTTTACTCTAATTAAAATTTTTATTTTTTCAAATTTGACACTTTTAAAATATTTTTCTAATATAATCTTTATTGTATCAAAAGTGAGCCTCACCAAAAAATAATAATTAAATAGCCCAATAAAATTATACTTCTCAAATGTATTCCTAATTAAGATTTTTTTTTTTTTCATTTCAAGTAACCTCTCAATTACTATTTACTCATAAACAACTTTGCTCTAATTTGCCTTTGTTGAGGTAATAAACACCTTTTTTAAAACTTGCACTTTTCTCTTTAAAATTTTATTTCACGAATATATAACAAAAATTCAATATGCACATACATTTATTTTCAACTAATTAATGTATTAAGAGTTAATATTATTAGTGTTTTTAATATTTTTAACATTTTTAATTTATGCCCTCTCTGAAACAAAATCTTAGCTCCACCACTGTCCATAATTATAGACCTTCACTAGCAGTTGCTTAGAATTAAGTATAACCATTCATTAAGGTGGCTCTACGGTTTGTTATAGACGTATCTGCAGACTGCAATAAGTTAATATGGCAATCAATGCTTAAAACCATGATAGTTTGCGTTAAACAAGACATCTCTTTCAAATACAATCAGAGATCAGGTATTTTATATTTGATTGATAGACTATGAGATTTCGTTGTATAAAATAATAGGGACGCATCAAATAATCACTCTTTTTTTTTTTTAACCTAGCAAAAAAAATTCAATGATCTCAATATCGCCAAAGTAACAATTCTTCAACCAGATCATATAATCATTCTGTACTCATTTGACATCATGTTTTGCAAAGCTAAACAGCCGTACACAGCGCAATTTATCTAGGCTTATATAGTGGTAAAAGTGTCACTGGATTCTTCTTAATCACTTTCTACACGTAATAATAGCGATTAGGAAGATAATTATTGAGGTCATTTTCAGCGATTTTTTCTTTCCATCTTCAGCCGACACTTCCCAAAACGCAAAGAGAACCTTCCTAGGTCGCATCCACATCCACACCACGATACAAATCGAAGGGCAACATCATGGATGGCGGGAAAGAGAGCCAATTCCGAGTTGGGTGGCGCTAGACGTGAAGAGCCACGTGGATAGCCAGGTTTCCATGTGGGGTGCATGGCCCACAATTGCAATTGACTAAACCAAGTTACTTAAGATGTAATTCTTGCTTTATCCCTTCTAAACAATAATATCTTAATAATAACATTAACTATTATTATTTTATAGACCCTATCATATGATATTTAATATTGGGAGGTGAGGTGGGTCAATCATGCCAAACCACATGCTAGTGCAAAGATTGGAGATTCAACAACTCATAAAAGCTATGGAGCCTTCTTCTCGGGCTATACTAAGGGCCGTTCGTTTTGAGCTTGAATCACAATTTAAACTTTTTTTTTTTATTGTAATGTTTCTTTTTAAAAAAAAATAAAATTTTCGTCCAAATTTATAAACTAAAAAGAGTCATAAATATACTATTACATACGATGTTCTATACTAGTTGTGCCCCCACAATGTATTTTTCTTAGTTTGCAAGTCTAATGTCACGACAACGTTAATGATAGCATGAATTTCAACACCAAACATTACGTGTTATCTTCCCATTCGCTACTGCTTTGTACGATATATTGTGCTTACGTCGTCTTTTGAGACCAATTTGCCATGATTTATATCGTCATTTGATCCATCTCTCCGCTCTTGTCTCTGCATTTCGCTTTAATTGCCTGATATAACAGCACCGTTCGGCTACTCGCGATCGATCAAGAATCGCTTTGAGTTAAGGTCCAGATCTGAAATCAGCTCAAAGCTTAGCTATGGTGGATAAGGTACTCTCCACTTGGGATCTATTTTTCTCTTCTCTTTATCCAGATATCCCATTTGATAAGTTTCCTTGTAATTGGGCTATTTTTCTGTATATCGATATTTTTTGTGGTTCATATTTTTTTACTGGCTATTGATCTAGAAGTGAAATCTTTATAATTTTGTTTTTCTTTATGGCCCTTTGTTCCTGATCTCTCTCAAGTGTACCCCCACTATCTTTCCTGTCAGAACCTGATTCTGCTCTCTCTGTTATTCTGCCTCCTTTTGTCTGCAAATTCTTTAATTCCTTTATATTATCATGAAATTTTGTCTTTATGTATGATTTTATCGTTATGTAATGAAATTATTCAACTTTTTAACAGCAAGTCACGATAATGGTGCTGGTGGTTGACCTTCAATGCCATCGGTGCTACAAGAAGATCAAAAAAATTCTCTGTAAATTTCCTCGTCAGTTTCTGATTTCTCTCTCTCTACATTTCTTTTAATTGGTCACATGTTTTATGAATTAATTAAGTACGAAAACTGAGTTATTATTTTGTTGTGTGTTTTTTATGAACAAGATCAGAAATACAAGATCAGGTGTACGATGAGAAGAATAACACGGTGACGATCAAAGTGGTTTGTTGCAGCCCCGAGAAGATAAAGCAGAAGATAATCTGCAAAGGTGGGGACACCATTAAGAGCATTGTTATCAAAGTCCCAGAGAAGCCCAAGCCCAAAGAGCCGGAGAAACCAAAACAACCGGAAAAACCAAAAGAGCCGGAGAAGCCGAAAGAACCACCGAAGCCGAAAGAACCCGAGAAGCCTAAAGAGCCACCGAAGCCCAAAGAGCCAGAGAAGCCCAAACTACCCCCTCCGCCGCCGGTGGTGGTTCCTTGCGTGCCGGTGTTCCCTCCACGTACGTGCTGTCCGGAGTGTTACGAAGGTCGTCCTGGTGGGCCATGCTTTTACGGTTGTGTGCCGCCGGGCCCACCCCCATGTTATCAATACGATGGGTATTACGGTAGGCCGGTGTACGACAGTTACGGTGGAAGTAGGCCCTACTACGTCAGCCGCTGCGATTACTTCTCCGAAGAAAACACCGGAGCCTGCTCAATCATGTAAATAGCGGAAGCCATATATGATTATGAAGCGTCACAAATTGCGAGATTAAAACGAGTCTCATAAAACAGCGTTAAAAATAAATACTTTCTCTCTCTCTCTAGATATATATATATATATATATATATATATATATATATAAATTCAACTGCCTAGTTGTGAGAATATTTCAGTTTGCCTCTTGTGAATGTTGGGTCAATTTTTTGGTCCAATTGGTGGGCTTTTTTTTTTTTTTTTGTTTATTTTATTTTTGGCGATTATCATGGGGGAAATAAAATTACAATTGGGAATTGAGAATAAAGTTTGGTAGTTGGTGATGATGGTGTTGGGTGGAACAAGTCACAATCGGTGGTTTATTCTCGAGGGAGGGCAACATGAGTTGTGAATTATCCACATCTTAAAATAATAATTGAAGTTTCCATCAATCATTTCCTTTGGATGGTGCACCTGCTTTTTATTCCCTTTCAATTCTTTTTTTTTTTTATCTTGCACATGTTGTCGGTTTATCTAGACCTCGTTGTCTCTGAAATACTTTGGCCTTTTAGGCAGTATAGCTATCATCTTTTTAAATCATTAGGATATGATATATGATTTGTATATACAAGATTTTGTATCTTCTATTCACATGATGATGGAACACTTCTTAAACCATCGTTTGCGTTTAATTCATCAAAATATTAGCACGATGCCTACTCCAAAACTAGCCATTTCACTTCTTTTTTTTTTTAATACATTAGTTTGTCGTATTTGCTTATTCTAATCGTTTACTTCAAGGAAAGTTTGTCCAGGCTGGTGGGTTGTTAGAATTTATAAGTGATTTATAAATAATTAAAAGTAAATTGTACAAATGATTCTTAAATTTTTTAAAAAGTCGCAGTTTAATCTTCAATTTTTTTTTTTTTTTTTTTTTATTTTTTTTTTTTTTTTTATTTTTTTTTTTTTTTTTATTTTTTTTTTTTTTTTTTTTTACAAAACAAACCATAAACTATTTAAAAGAGTGTAATATAATTATCTTCGTTAAATGTCGTCTAAAAAATAAAGGCACAGTGTATGTGAGATATCGCGTGATATATATTTTTAGAATATATGTGTAAAATCACATGTTCAGAGATTTGTGACACATTTTATCGCGCGCTCTCTCTCTCTCTCCGTCTATTGCCCCTCAGGCGTGCCTGTACTTTGGGGGAAATCGATTCCGAAACTCCATTATCGATCTTCTATCAACGATCTCCACAGGATTCATCCACTTCAATTGCTCCCCCTGAAGTGCAATATAAGATTACAATTAAAATCGGTTTCATATAATTAATATTTTCCGCATAAGTAAACAATATCCCGCAATCAGTAAACTCATCCTCAGCTCAGAAAGTACCATTGGGCCAACTTTGATGGCTCCTCCACCAATCTAGAGAGAAGCAGATGGTACAGAAGTGGGGTTCGCAACCTTTGACATAAAATCAAATACTATTCGAACCGCCTCGTTTATCAATCAGTTTGCTTTCTGTGGACCATACAACCATTCAAGAAGTTAACGCAAAAGTATTCTTGATTCCATTATTCTCGATGCAAACTTACTTCATGAACGGCGTCAAAAGTAAGGCCATTTCCACGCCATATATATATATATAAGGTTCTCATTCAGCCAAAGCAACATTACTAGACGAAGACATTTTTCTGGGTAAGAACAGTGGTCGGTAGAATAATATAGCAGAGGGAACGCCTAACAAAGTCTACTTTTTTTAATGGCAAAAAATCAGAAATACCACTCAAAAACAATATTATTTGTGTTACTATACTTAAAAACAAATAATTGTCATTTAACTAATAAAGAGAAAAATAAAAAGGTCATACACTCAATTATTTAAAATGACATAAATAATAAATATACATAAAAGCATGATAAACTATGTACTTAAACTGCCAATAAAATAGGCTGTAGATCCACTTTTGCCAACAGATGGCAAAACTATTGTAAAAAATTGCTGGGACCAAAATAACAGGGGTTCCTGGCGGATTTAGGCGGTATAGGGTGGTTTTAGGCGGATTTAGGCAGTATAGGGCGGTGTTAGGCGGTAATCGGTATTTATTGGCCAGTGACCCAGTGATTATCGGTCGGTAGCGGACACTAATCGATATCTCAGTAAGATATCGGTATTGTGATAGATACCAGTTTATATCATATGGATATATTTAGTATTTTGAATATAATATGATAATGTGGCCGTTACATTCTCAACAATTTTTTTTCTTTTCCTTTTGCATAAATTAGTTCAAGACTATATTTTGGAGTATTCCTATAAAGTTCCCCTCCTCTTTTCTAATTAAGGGGGAAAAAAAGCCCATAACGAAGATTAGCAAACATAATACATATTAAGAACAAATGTTAGGAAAATAATGGAAAAAGTAAAAATGAAATCAGAAAATAGACGACAAATTATTAAACCTCCTTGAAGACACCTATGTGGTTACTCTTAAGGTCTTGAGTTCTAGATCACATGGTAACAAAAAAGCCGTTCCCCTAAGAAATTAAGACAAAACGCCTAATTAAGGTAAATTAACTTACTCAGATCTTATTAATCGGGTCAAGGTCCATTTAATCTTTCTTACTACGTTAGACCGAGAAAAAGGTTAATTGAACCTTATCAAGAAGGAAAAAAGAAAAACAAAATCCATATTTGAAAAGAAAACATAGAATACACGCAAGCCACTAAATTGTCGGTGGCTAGCGTGCATGCTGTTGCTCTAAGCTATACCATGTAGTTTCGATTCTTACACACGAATATTTGTCCCTCCTATGTTCAACTCTAGAAATTCCACCTCAATAAAAAATAAAAACTCTATAAAAAAAAAAGCTCTATACATTTGAGATCTTTACGTGACTTTCTAACGATGTCATACGAATGGAGCAACAACAGCAAGGAAACAAAGTGTTGCAATGTATATACGTATATATTTATGCACAACTATAATTAGTACTATTGTGTTCCACTATGAAGGAAAGGGGAAAGCGAGTGCTTAATGAGGAAGAATATATACTTTTGTTTCGCCTTTTCTTTTTCTTTTTCTTTTAATGACTTTTTTTTTCGTTTTGATTGGGACGTTAGTTAAAGAAAAATTTTCAATAATTGCTTTTCAAAAGTTTTTTTAGGGACTTTCTCCAGTGTTCTCTCCGTCTTAAGGATATTGATGTTTCATGTTTTTCGATCGTCAGATCTGTATCAGAATTTATATGTTCTGCAAATTTTTCAATCTGCTGTGATTTTAATCAGATCTAACGATTGAAAAAGTAGAAAACACTAGTATTCTAAAAAAAAGAGACACAGAAGAAACACTTTTTTTTAAATAAGAATTGCTTTTCAAAACTTATCTTTGTTTCTCCCCTCCTTTTTGTATTCCTTTTGTTGTGCAAAACATATAATATTCCTGGTAATTGCTTTTTCATTGATTCCACGATATATATTCGCCCAAGGAGACATATAAAAGGGATATATATATATATGTGTGTGTGTGTGTAGCACTAGTATTCGAACATTTCAGAAATGCTAAAAGCCTATCAGGGTCATATATATATATATATGTATGTATGTAGGTATATATGTGAGAATTGACAGATTGATCATGCAGTTGATCAATTCCATGCATCCTATTTTTCTCTAACCCCCTTCTATTAACTCTGAAAAAAAAAAACAAACAAAAAACCCTCTCAATTAATAAAAAAAAAAATAGAACAACCGAATTTATAAATTTAATTAAAAACTCCATTAATACCAATCTGTATGCGTACCAGGATAATAATTAGCCTCCACTCTCTCGTACAACTTAAACATGGCGAGAGTTCATATTAAAATAATACAAACAAACAATGTTACGGATTGCACGTCAAACTGCATGATCCAACGCGAAAGATTAGCAATTAGTCCACATATATCATGTCCAAACGGCCCAAAGAGAAGGCCAGAGTATAGTTGGAGATAAAGTATTAACAGAAATTGTAATAAATGCCAAGAGTGATGAAACTAAATAAAGTAAATATATTTAAAGCACTTCATTTCAAGTATTAATGGCTATACAAAGTTGGTATACTATTGTCAGTCATTTTCGCCAATATTGCCACGTCAGACCAAGCTAGAGCCTTGAAAGATATATGATCGGGTGCCAGACATGGCGGTACATCTAAATATTTTTTCCGAAATTAAGCTGCAAAAGACAGAAGGCAGATATTGTGGTTAATGGATAACACTTGAGTCGAGATCTCTTCTGTCTTTGATTTAGGCCTTACATATATATTTATATATATATATACGTGCTTTTCTCTTCATAAAATATACATTCCCCGTTACCATATTAACAAGATTAATACAAATGAAATAGCAAATACAGGGAAGCAAGGTCAGCAACCAGTAAATTAACAAAAGAAAACTCTAATTTCCAGCCACCATGGGGGGAAAAAAAACGCAAAAGATACTTTCATTGATAGTTTGAAGACTGTTAGAAAAAGCCTCCAGGAGAAAATCGTACTAGAGAGATAGATCCCATAGGGAGGACTCGTTTGATAGAGAAGATTGTTTGAATTTGTAACAAAGATGAAGAGAGAGAGAGAGCAGTAGAGAAAAGCCATAACACTATATATATCAAGAGGATCTCTTTAGAGAATGTTCTTTCTCGTAACATGTAGCTATAAGAAATGTAACATAAAGTTAATGAATGTAATATTGACATTGAAAAGGTGTAGCATATAGTTCTTAAATAACTAAATTTCTTAGTGTTACTTTTTTCTAAAGTGAATGTTACGTTTAATAATTATCGCCAATGACGGAATTAAGATTTATTAATAGGGGGCCAAAGCTTTTTTTTTTGTTTTTTATTATCAAGATTACAGTGACATAAATATATGTAACAGTTTTCGTTTATTAAATTAATTCATGATCCAATTAAATATAAAGAACCATTAATTTAAGGGGGGCCAAGTATAATTTATACAAACACCTACTATATTAAAATTAAAACCACTATATATATATTCGTAGGCTAATAAAAACCTAGTACCGTATGTGCAGAAAAAGTATTATCTATGACGTCTTCATGATATGCGAAACTTGGTTTTGTTTGTGATGGAGAAGAATCAACTGATCGTAGTCTCACCTCATGTATATTTCTCTATATAAGGGGTACCGTCAATCACTTTGGGAGAGGTTCTAGATATCTGAGAGCTCATAAACCATGGTATATATTTCAGTTTGCTATATTTTTCTCTTGTAGTCATTTGTGTCTCTCTTTAGTAAGGCATTCTTCGTTCTTTTTCCTCTTTCTTCTTGATCTGATTCTCTGGCTTCAAGTGCGCATCCGCCACCATCCTCACCCACACTTTATTTTGTCTGGATCATTTGTTGTCCACTTATATATACTTTCATATATGTGTGTACATATGTGGGCAAATTTTATCGTTTTATCATGATGTAATTCACTAATTTTATTGAACTGTTTTACTGCAGGCTAATGCGACCATAATGGTGCTGAAGGTGAACCTTCAATGCCATGAATGCTACAGGAAGGTCAAAAAAGTTCTCTGTAGTTTTCCTCGTGAGCGCATCTCTCTCTCTCTCTCGAACAACGAATAACATTTTCACTTTTTAGAATTGAAAAACAATATATGATTATTTACATCTTAAGAGAATATATAGTTTCTAGTTTTTACCATATATAATTTTATTTTATATATATTGGAGGATATATTTGTGCCGTCTGTATATATATAGTCATGCGTTCTTGTACACCGTGTGTGTGTATAAATTATGTTTATGATACATTTGATTTTTTTTGTTTGTTTTTTGTTTTTGTGAACAAACAGAAATACAAGACCAGGTGTACGATGAGAAGCAAAACACAGTGACAATCAAAGTGGTCTGCTGCTGCGACCCTGAAAAGATGAAGCAAAAGATACTCTGCAAGGGCAAAGCAGTCATCAAGAGCATTGAGATCAAAGTCCACAAAAAGAAAGAAAAAGAAGATAAGGCTTCGAATACCGAGGACAAGGACAAGAAGAATGCAGATGAAACAAAAGATAAAAATCAGCAAACAAACCTACCTCCACGTCCTGTTCAGCTGGTGCCTTGCGTGCCTTTTGTGCCGGTATGCCCAGTTCCCGGAGCCGGCCCGTTTCGTCGCACGTGCTGCAGGGAATGCTACGAAGGCCGCGTCGGTGGGCCATGCTTCGAAGGTTATGATAATAATTGGGCAGCTGGCCCGTTTCGTCGCACGTGCTGCAGGGAATGCTACGAAGGCCGCGTCGGTGGGCCATGCTTCGAAGGTTATGATAATAATTGGGCAGCTGGCCCGTTTCGTCGCACGTGCTGCAGGGAATGCTACGAAGGCCGCGTCGGTGGGCCATGCTTCGAAGGTTATGATAATAATTGGGCAGCTGGCCCGTTTCGTCGCACGTGCTGCAGGGAATGCTACGAAGGCCGCGTCGGTGGGCCATGCTTCGAAGGTTATGATAATAATTGGGCAGCTGGCCCGTTTCGTCGCACGTGCTGCAGGGAATGCAACGAAGGCCGCGTCGGTGGGCCATGCTTTGAAGGTTATGAGAATAATTCTGGACCAGTACCGTCATCTTCTCAGTGCGACTGCTACTGGAGAAGGCCAGTAGTTTGTGATAGTTATGGTGGTGGGAATATCTACTTCCATCCCCCTCAGGAACAGTGCTCCGATCCAGATGCTGGATGCCAAATTATGTAACACTGTATATAGTACTACTACGCCATGCTAGACTCGGTCAAAGCAATTGTTGGTGGCTAGCATGCACGCTGTTGCTTTAAGCTAAATCTTGTAGTTTCGATTCTTACACACGAATAGTTGTCCCTCCAACTATAATTAGTACTATTGTGTTCCACTATGAAGGAAAGGGGAAAGCGAGTGCTTAATGAGGAAGAATGTATACTTTTGTTTCCCCTTTTGTTTTCTTTTTTTTTTTAAACGACTTTTGTTTCGTTTTGATTGGGACGTACGTTAGTTAAAGAAAGTATTTGAATAATTGCTTTCCAAAAGTTTTTTTTAGGGACTTTTCTAGTATTTTTTTTAAAGACACTGGTGTTTTGTAATTTTTAATCGTTAAATTTATATTAAAATTAATATATTTTGTATATTTTTTAATTTGATATGATTTTGATAAGATTTATTTATTAAAAAAATAAAAAATAAAAAATATTAGTGTTCTCGAAAAGAAAAAAACACCGAAGAAGCTCTTTTTTTTTTTTTTAATCAGAATTGCTTTTCAAAAGTTATCTTTGTTTCTCCCCTCCTTTTTCTTTTCCTTTTGTTGTGCTGAACAGCTAATATTCCTGGTTGCTTTTTCATTGATTCCACTATATGTATTCGCCCAAGGATACATATAAAAGGGATAAAACGATATTTATATATATATATATATATATTTATATAGCACTAGTATTCGTACAGTTTTGAAATGCTAAAAGCCTATCCGGGTCATATATATATTTATGTATGTATGTGAGAATTGACAGATTGATCATGCATGCAGTTGATCAACCATGCATCCTATTTTTCTCTAACCCCCATCTATTAACTCTAAAAAAAAAAAAAAAAAACAAAAAACCCTCTCAATTCAAAAAAAATAGGACAACCGAATTTATAAATTTAATTAAAAACTCCATTAATACCAATCCGTATGTGTAGAGGTGTCAAATGGGCCGGCCCGGCCCAGGCCGTAATAGTGCATGATTCGGCACGGCCCGGTTCGTTACTGTTATAGGCTGGGCCGGCACGGCACGTGTAATGGACTAGGGCTGGGCCTCAACTTCTCAGCCCGTGGCCCAAGCACGTGGAGGCCCGCGGCACGGCCCTTATTTGGCCCGGCCCAAGCCCGTGAAACGGCCCACGAAAACCCCATTTCATTTGGTCCAGTGGGCCCTTCGCGGGCCCAACGTTCAGCACGTGACGGGCCTCCCGTTTGGCCTGTCACGTGCCTCCCGTTTCGCACGTGATGAGCCAAACGGGAGGCCCGTCACGTGCCGCACGTTGGGCCCGCGAAGGGCCCAACGGAAAAAAACCAAATTTCAACCCTAAAATCCCCTATAAATACCCCTTAATTCCACCATAAATCCCACACAACAATTCACTCTCATCTTCTCATCTCACTCTCATTCTATCTCTCAACTTCTCTCTTTGATTTTGATTCTAAGCTTTTTTCTCGTGTTCATTCATTTTCTAGCTCTTTCATTTACAAAGTTCAATCAAGTTCTATCAATTTCCAGAAAATGGCCTCACCAAATTTCCCTAATTTCACTGCTCTTCCTGAGCTTCGTGAGGAGATATTTTTTGAGGAAGAAATGATGCCTTCCAACCCCACCCCCACTGAACCAGAAAATGCTC